GCAAAGAAAATCAATAAAACAAAAAAGCAGCCTACTAAATGGGAGATGTTTGCCAACGATATATCTGATAAAGGGTTAATATCCAAAATTTATAAAACACTCATGCAACTCAACACCAAAAAAAACAAACAACCCAATTACAAAATGGGCAGAGGGTATAAAGAGACATTTCTCTAAAGAGGACATACAGATGGCCAACAGGCATATGAAAAAATGTTCAACCTCACTAATCAATAGAGAAATGCAAATAAAAACCACAACGAGATACAACCTCACTCCGATCAGAATGGCTATCAATAAATCAACAACAAGTGCTGGCGAGGTTGTAGAGAAAAGGGAACCCTGGTGCACTGTTGGTGGGACTGCAGATTGGTGTAGCCACTATGGAAATCAGTATGGAGGTATCTAAAAAACTGGAAATGGAACTACTGTATGACCCAGCAATTCCACTCTTGGGTATCTATCCAGAGAAACCCAAGATGCTAACTTAAAAAAATATATGCACCCCTATGTTTATTGCAGCACTATTTACAATAGCCAAGACTTGGAAACAACTGAAACGCCCATCGGTAGACAACTGGATTAAGAAACTGTGGTACATTTACACAATGGCATATTACTCCACTATAAAGAAGAATGAAATCGTACCATTTGCAATGATATGGATGGACACAGAGACCATTATGTTAAGTGAAATAAGTCAGTCGGAGAAAGAAAAATACCATATGATCCCACTTATGTGTGGAATCTAAAAACTGAATGAACGAGCAAAGTAAACAGAAATAGTTTCATAGATATAGAGGAACAACTGATGGTTGCTAGTTGAGAGGGGGATCAGGATGAGGGAGAAAGGGAAGGGGTTAGACAGCATAAATAGGTAACTACAATATTGCCACAGGGATATGAAAGATTGTTTGAGGAATATAATTAATAATGTTGTAAATATTTTTTAGGGTGTCAGATGGTCATATGTCTTGTTAGGGAGACCACTTTATGGATGGGGTAGAGGCTTGATAACTGCACCGTACACCTGAAGCTTGTGTTGTATAATATTGTATGTCAACTATAAGTGAATATATATATATATATATATANATATATATATATATATATATATATATATATAGTCACGGCACATCGAGTATAGTGTGCGAGTGGAGTCAAAGGAATTGTAATAGATATGTATGATGTGGGGGGGAGTGGGGTGGTGGATTGGGGGAGGGGCTTGTCACTTTGAGGGGTAAAAATTGTAACTATTGCACTGTTTTGTACCGCTGAAACTAATTTTAAAAAAACATTTATTTCACAATAAATAAACAAATAAGGTTACACACTGTAACCTTTTTGAAGTAACACAATTATAGAGATGGATAACAGATTAGTGGTACCCAGAAATTACAAGAGTATTGGTGGGGCTCTAACAGGCAGTACCAGTGAGCATGGGGGCAATGGAACATTCTGTATCTTGACTGTGGTGGTGGTTACATGAAGCTAGTTACAAAAGTGCACTTACAAATAAGTACAGGTGTAACTGGTAAAATCTAAATAAGTTCTTATGTCAATTTCTTGGTTTTGATATTGTATTACACTTATTTAAGTGATGGATATCAGGAAGATGGAATGAAGTGCGCATGGGACCTCCCTGTACATTTCTTCCCAATTTCTTGTGAATCTATCATTATTTCATAAGAAAATGTTAAAAAAGGAATACTTCAAATAGCCATTTCTTCAAAATGGATGATGCCCATTCATTCCTCTAACAGTACTATGAAAGTGGGATTCTTACCCACTGCTGATGGCATACTAAATTGCTAGTCTCCTGTGGGAAATGATTTTATAGCATAAATCCAGGGCCATAAAATGTTGTGCCCTGTGACCTCGTCATCTAATTTGTGGATATCACCTAAAGAAAACAATATCAAATCTGAGAAAACATATATGCTCATGTGCTACATAATGACATTTCAGTCAATGACAGACCACATATATGACAGTGGTCCCATAAGATTATAACAGAACCGAAAACTACCTATCGCCTAATGACATCACAGGCATAGTGCAATGCATTACTCACATGTTTGTGATGACATTGGTATAAATAAACCTACTGTACTACCAGTCATATGAAAGTATGGTACGTACAATTACATACAGTACATAATACTTGATAATAAATGACTACATTACTGATTTATGTATTTACTATACTATCCTTTTGCTCTTTATTTTTACTTATAAAAAAAAAGTTTGCTGTAAAACACTATGTCATTACACCAGCAGTGGCCTCACACATCTTGTGTCTAACACATCTCTTGATTGCATCATTTTCTCTTGTGCTTGATTTAATGTCGTGTTGTTTTGTACAATAACATCCTGAACAGGCTTGTAGCCTAGGAGCATTAGGCTACACCACACAGCCTGGGTGTGCAGTGGGCTGTGCCATTTAGGTCTGTGTAAGTGCACTCTGTCGTATCCACACAACAATGAAATACCTAATGATAAATTTCTTAGAATGTATCCTAGTTGTTAAGCAGCACATAATTGTATGTATATGTGTGTGTGTATGTGTGTGTGTGTGTACCTATATACACAGATACAGAGGGTGCCCCCAAAAAATGTATACACATTTTAAGAAAGGAAAAAACTACTATAATTGTAATACTCCACATATACCGATAACAAAAGATGAATCCAAGTCACATTTGACTTCTGCAATTACAAGAGGCATTCAAAGTGGTTACCATCAGCATCCAGACACTTCTGATTATGGTGAACTACTACTGCTTGAGCAATGCTGACCAAAGTTGTCTACTTGTATACCTTTTTTTGGAACCCCCGGTATATATGTAAAGATATTACTACAGTGTAATTGAGAACTGAGTAAAACTGGATGCAAACTAGATGTTTGAGAATACGGAAATCATTAAATTCTCAAAATCTAGTCGTGGAATATCATGCAGCTATTGATAATCTTGACAATGGTACAACAATAAAACAGAAAACACATGTTATGCCAATAAAGCAAAATTCAAAATAAGCTCCTAAAACATGCATATAAAGTTAACAGGAAATATTTTTCACAAAAATAAAAGATGATAATCATGTTAGTGTGACAGGATTAGGCGTATTTTTCTTAAACTTTCCTGTAGAGTTGTCATATTATTTTCATACTTAAAGAAATAAGCATACTTTTACCTTATCCCAGAAATCAACCAAAGCTGTAAAGTCCCATTTCTTAGAATATGCCACATTGTATTTCAGAATAGCATCCTACGGAAAAAGCAGAAACAAGAACCCTCATGATACAGTGAAATGAATTATCTATGAATAGCCTGTCTCCTTTATGAACTACATCCAGTAAATTTCTTAATGCTGGACAAGCTTCCTCCAACCATTACCTACTCCAATATCAGTAGCTATGGACAAACAGAATGCAAGCTAATTTATTATTCACTTAAGAAAAATGAGATTAGAAAGGTCAAGCAATAGGGGAAAAAACACCGTAATACTCTAAAGTACGCATTCTAAACAGAGATGATACACTCCAACTGGACAAAAATTGGATAATGGGGATAAAAAAATTAAATATTATGATTTCTGGCCATCAAATGGGTCACAGATATATATATAATATATATATATAT